CTCTTCTGCTGATGGAGCTGCAAAGGCAATCACCCCCTCTCTGAGACCCGAGCCTCCCTCCCTACCCATACGTCACCCCACAGGCCGCCTGGCAGAGGCAGGGGGCAGGATGCGCCGTGTAATAAATTCTATCCACCGCTGAGCCGAGGGATAACAGATGGATAGGTTTCCTCGTGCAATTTCCACTTCACTTGGTTTGGGTATAAAATAACAGAAGAGTGGTTTCTTCTTGTGCAATTTTCAAACAGATGAAACCAGAGGGAGGGTTTGTTAGGCTGGGAGGAAAGTGAGGGACTCGACTGTCCTTCAGAGAGTCGAGCCAAATGAACAGGACGCCCTGAAAACCCTGTGAAAGATTCGGGCTTGTTTTTCCTGCTAGCTGGCAGTCAGTTCCTGCATCCGAAGCCGCCTGCTCATCCCCACCAGGCAAAGCAAAGGAAACGATCACAGGGAGGCCAGACAGTCTGTTGTTCATGTTGTTATAGTGTTATGGTGATTGCAGTACAAATTCTCAGGGTGGAAAAAAAGGTATAATGACAGATTGTGTGATTATACCCATACTTATAATTAAGCTGTTACAATACAGACAAGCGCCTGCTCTCTAATGTCACCAACAGAAACCTCTTTGCTTGGAAAGGAAAGTGACTCACTGGCAATTAGAAGGAGTTCCCTACAGGACTTCGTTTTCAAACCTTATGAACGCTCCAGTAGGAAGATGTGTGGCTCGCCTGAATTACAGGGAAAAGTACAGGCATCCAGGAGCAGCCACCTGATCTCCAGGTATGGGATGTGGTACTGGTTAGAGCAGAAATTATTACTGTCACAAACAACCTCTTTGCAATGCACAAAAGGCTTGGCTCCCACAAAGCGCTTTATCATAGTGTTTGCATGTGACTCTTTGGTGCCAGTTGGATTTCTGGTTTCCATTTTAGGGCTGAGAGAGGAGGGGGGGGGCGGGGAGGGAACATACCCAGCAGGCAACAGAACAAGTTGGTGTCCAGCTGGGACTCCTGGCCACCCGCCAACATGGTCATTTCCACTGGCTGTCACTTGCCTGGTGGCACAGTGGGTGGTGTGTGCCTGGCTAGTCCTCAGAACCCCAGAAGGGGCTGTGTTGGGTCTTCTCACTAACGTTCAACCTTTTTCACATTAAAGGGAATCAAAGGAGCTCACTTTTCTTTTCTTTCTTTTTTCTTTCCCACTTTTTACTCACTTCTGTTTGACTACTAGGTCTCATTCCCTTTTCTCTGGCACCATCTTTGCCATCAGACATTGCCACAAAGGAATCTACCATACCTACGTGCAAATATGTGTTGTGGACTTCCATTTATGTAACACACAATGCCATTGGTGTAAGCTGCAGTGTAATTCTGCAGTGATGAACACATTCCTCTGTATAGCAGGCAGCTCTTAGGGAATTTGCACACAGAGCTCCTCCTTTCCTGGTACGGTGTGCACTTGGGGTTTCTCTTGGAGAGGACTTTTATATGAGGGATGAATCTTTATGATGAAAATATTTGGGGTCCAAATAGTGGCTTGGGAGTTGTGATAATCTCTGTATGTATCATTTCCTTATCTGCAACTCCAGGCAATACATATCTACCTCCAGAGAGGCATCTTGAAGACTAATTAGTTAATGATGCTTGCAAAGTGTCTTGAAGATGCAAAGTGCAACACAAGTGGTAAGGATTAATGCTGTCATATTCACATAAAATTCATTCTTGGGTGCCAATGCTTGAGGTGCTCATCTTGAATTATTTCCATAAACACATAGAACATATGATTACTATCGAGTATTTCTGAATTTTTAAAAGTGACCATTTGCTTAATGATTGAAAGAAATGATGTACATCAAGCCAGGTCTTAGCTCGTGTCACATCTCTGTCATTGTGTGTCTGGCAGGTAGCTTTGTACTTGTGGGCATGCTGTATAGCTTCCGTGCATCCTGGCCTAAGTGATGGGACATAACATTTTGTCATCCTCCTCATGAAATGTTGGGGGAAAATGATGGAAGAATTATCCCAAGGGGGAGCGAGCTGGTGGGGAAAATATCGAAGTGAGAAGGAGCAAACAGGGGTCCCCAGGATAGCAGTTTCCCTAAGTTCCTGGAGAGGACATTTTAAGTTTTCCTGCCTGGCATTCTCTCCCTCTTCTATGGTGCTTGCACCTTGGATGGGGAGCCACCTCTCCCACCCTCAGTCTGGTTTGTGACACCTAACCCACTCAATAATTCTGCCTCTTTGGACAGAGTGATTCATTCAGGAACTGCTGTGTGATACAAGTAGTCCCGATCAGAGGCTCCCAGCACTGTGCTGGCAGCAGAAAGTCACGTAAGGTAGAAGGCACAGGTGAGAACTGTGCTGTCAGAAAGGGAAGAGTTCCGTAAGAGTGAGACCGACCCATAACAAAGGATGTCATAAAGCACTGAGCCCCGGCATAAGCCCATCTGCATTTAGTCACGTATGGACATTTAATCACACAAGTCAATGTTTTCCCTTCTTAAAAACAAAATTTAAGCTAGCATTGAGTTTAGGAGTTGGTTGCTGGCAACTGAAAATGGGTCTTAACTAATATAATTCTCACCCACCTTTTATTTGGAAGCTTACTTCCCAATTAAGAGTAGCTGAAGCAGTTTGATCCACTGAGCTGCCTTTCCGCACTGGCTCGTTGCCCTGGGAAATTCTGATCCCACAGATCGTCCATCCAGGGAGCAAGTCCTTGCTGCTTGTCCCCCTAGTGAGCTGTGCTGGGAGAAGTGCAAAGGTAAAGAAGACGTGGTTCCCATTCTCAAAACGCTCTCATCTAATTTGGGTTTTGTGAAACCCATGTCTGAATACATGTATTTCAGACACAATAATATGTATTAAAAGGGATCTCAATAATTTTTAGGGTTTTCAGAGGTGAGAATGATTGCAAATATTTGTGAGGAAGGAGATGGAAAGCAATAGAATCTGAGCAGAGACTGGTACGCTTTGGGAAGACAGTAGAGCCCAAGACCGGGGGAGAGACTTTCAGCTGGGAGGTACAGTGTGAAAACAGATGGCCGAGGGCTCATGGACAGGGAGTGGTGGGAGAGTGGGCAGAACATAAGCTTCCTAAAAGCCACCTGGGGGAAATATGGTTGGAAAAATTAATTTAGCCCTGACTGTGGAGGACCTTTGTTGCCAGGCTTGGGAGTTGGATTTTATCTCTGAACAGGGGGGATCTATAGAATCTTATTGGAATAATGAAAAGACAATCATAGCTGTGCATGGATTGAAGGGGGGAAGAGATAATAGGGACAGTGCTTTTTCTGGAGACTACTGCAATGGTCCAGGCAAGAGGTGGTGAGAGCCTCAATTACTTGCCAAGGATGATAGATAGAGACTAAAGAAGATGCTGGGACTAATGGAAAAGATACTGTGAGAGTAGAGTGCACTGGTTTTAGCAGCTGATTGGATGTTAGAACAAGGGAAGTTTATGGTTTTTAACCTGGATAATGGGAAGCTGTCATGCCATGAGCAGAATTAGGAAATACAGGAGGAGGAACAGTCTATGGGTGAGGTAGCTTTGTCTTCTTAACTCTCCCAGAATTCTGTTCCCTGTATGATTTCTCATTAGTGTTGGCCACAGGAAACATGTCACACAAACTCTGGAGGCAGAAGTGAGGCAGAACCATATACGTGATGCTCTGAAGCTTGATACAGGTGGCCAGGAGCTGTGGCAGCTCATGCACATTGTCACTGATCTGCCAGCTCACTTTGCTGCTGGGGCCCCTGTGTGAACACACGCCTCCCCTTGTGCTCTGGTCAAATCTCCTCCTACGGCTTCTTCAAGTCCTGGGCCAAGTGCAAAGGCAGTTCTGCAGAGAAGGGCACTGACTTCTGCTGCAAATGACACATGGTGGAGACTGCGAGGGACTGATGTGGGCTCTAGTCCATCCTCATGGTTGGCCTTTTCCTTGCCTGCACCTAGCATTCCCTTCCAACGGCGCACCTGGCTGACTGCTAGTGACTTCAGGCCAACGCCAGAAACAACAGCACGGCAGAGACTGTTCCATCAGCTCCTGTGACTGCGGAAGGTCTTACCCCTGTGTAACATCCTTTCTTCCACATACACTCATGGTGGTTCTGCTTCTCTGATTAAGCTCCTGCTGATTCCACGGGGTCAGGAAAAGTGAGTCCATTCTCTTCTATACCTGTGGGACTTGAGGTGTTGGTGGCACATTCAGGTGGAAGTGTATATCGCTGGCGGTTGGACTGATGGGTAGCGATTTGAGAAGGCCGTCAGCACTAGAGAGAGACCAGAGGGTCTTCCACGCAGGGATGATAACGGGAACTGGAGTCACAGATGAAGCCACAGAGGCAGAGAGTATAGACAGAGAAGAAAAGAAGGCCACGGACAGGACTGGCGACAGTGCCTGCACTACCAGATAGGAGGAGGGAAAAGAGACAAGGGAGGCAGCTTGACATTAACAAAGGGGCCAAAGGGGACCGAGGAGAGCACGTTTATGTAACCCAGATGAAAAGAGTCTCTGGAGAAGGCGGTTGTGCAAAATTATACCATGAGGGACAGGCACTTCCCTTTTTTCTATTGTTGAACTCATCATTACAGAAGAAACCTTGGACATCACTTAGTTCAACTCTCTCATTTTACAGGTGAAAGAACAGAGGTCCTTGAGAGCTTTTTTGAGTTTAGTTCAGAGCGGGTTTGGGGCAGAACTAGAAAGAAAACCCAGTTCTCCTGCCTTGTGTTTGAGTAATCTTGCTGCTATACTGTTCTTCCTCTTCCTGTTTATGATGCCGCTAGAATCAATGAGACAATATTGAAAAATATTGAGTTCCCAGGAGGAAAGATTTAATGATAATGCGGACATAAATTTCAATATTTCCTTGTCTCTGAGGTGCACAAAGCACTTTACATAGATTATTCTTTCTCCTCAGAGTCATCTGTCACAGGAAAGTAACAGATACTTTTATTATTCTTCTGTTACAAAGAGAGAAACTGAGTCATTTGTGCAATAACAAACAAATAAGCCTTTTGAAGACAGGTGTGCCTTAAAAGCTTTTGACTATGAAGTTATATGGGTGTCGTCTAAGTGTCTACATTTGACAGTTATTTTTTTCTGAAAGAACAAACTCCCCAGCTCGCCCTTCTACAATGACGGCAATAACTGCGTGGCTTGTGAAAACCGTTTCCTCGCCTTATACTTACAATTCATGGGCAGTCCTCATAATTTTATACACCGGGAGCCTAGTAGGTAAGCCCCAAATGTTCTTGACCTAAGTATTCTCAGGAGTGTTCTTTCAGTTATGTCACCTTCAGAAATGAGGAACATGAATGAACCCCGCATGCTTTTTACCAGAAGCTTCGACACGCTTCCACGTAAATGCACTGGAATGTTGGCAGAGCAGCAACTGATCCAACCGAGTTGCATCTCGACAGGGATTTGGACATTCGGCTACCATTTGCGCACTCATCCGTGGCGGCGTGTCAGGGCGGAGTGAACAGAGGATGAGGGCCGAAGCCGCCAAGGGGGAACAGAGCGCCTCCTGCATACCGGCCTGGGAAGAAGAGTGGACTGTGAGGGTTACTGTGTGCCCAAGGGTCACATCCACTTCCCTCCGGTGGCTTTTATGTTTATGTCTGGATCAGGCTGCTATGACAAAATGCCCCAAGCTGGGTGTCTCATAAAACAACAGACATTTATTTCCCGTAGTTCTGCAGGCTGGAACTCTGAGATTGGGGCGTCAGTACAGTTGGGTTCTGGTGAGGACCCTCTTCCGGATCCCGGACTGCCAACAGCCGGTATCTTTTGCTGGAAAGGGGGCTGGGAGCTCCCGGGGGTGGGGGTGGGGGCCCTGATAAAGGCACTAATCCCATTAATGAGTGCTCTGCCCTCGTGACCTAGTCACCTCCCAAAGGCCCCACATCCTAATACCATCACATTAGGGGGAAGAATTTCAACATGTGAATTTTGGGGGAGACTTAAACATTCAGTTCATGACAAAGGAGTTTAAAAGAAATAACATGTTTGAAATTCTTACCAGGTGCCAGGTAAGTCGGTTATACTTGGCAGGTCCTGTGCGTACAACACTTAGGATTTCCTTCCCTACTTTCTCTCTGCGGGTCTGTTATCTAACTGTCTATCTATGCAGCGAACTTGGAAAAGACAGAAGGCAGTTCACAGAATGCAAAAATTTAGCAAGAAACCTATGCCGAAGATCAGTCCAAAGGTGGAGGCGTGGACACAGGAGGCGTTTCTGTCCCAAGAAGGTCTCCCCCTCAGCCAGCACGAACTAGAAGCCCATGGACAGAGGCGGGCCACCCCTTCGCGGCTGTATCGATTTCCTTTCTGGCTCGCAGGCGGTTTACTGCTGTTACATGTCCTCGCAGCACAGCCCCGGGCGAGCCTTGCCTCTGTCCCCCCCGCGGTGTGTGTTGCTGGCAGGGGGAGGACGGAAATCACCCCTGACCGGTCCCATCCTTTCCTCTCTCTTCCCCTCCTTTGTGTCTGCAGTGCAGACTGCCTTTTGTTACTCTCGCCGGTGGAGTTTTCAAAAGGGAGAATCCTGCTTCCTTTGGCCACTCGGAGAGTATACAGTATATTTGATGTCTGGGACATCAAACAAATGCTTGTGCTCACAGTGCAGAAATAATCCCAGACAAAAGAAGACCATGGCCATGTGGAGAATACGAAACAGACGGGGTCGGGAAATTACCAGTCAAGTCAAAGAAGAGGCTGTTTCAAAAAAAAAAAAAACTCAATTCACCTTTGAGAAGAAGTAGGAAGCATGAGCTGCCAAGAATCTGCTAGGAGCACTCTGCCCCCGGGCCACCCTGGAGGGTGCCCCTGCCAGGGGTGGCTGTCTCTTCTGCTGAATCGTTAGCTGTCCCCCCTTTAGCCTCTCTGCAAGCAGGGTCTGAGGCAGTCCCAAAAACATTCCTAAACGTGGGTGCAGATGTTTAGTTTGAAAACACGTATGTGCACCCCTCCAAAGAAGAAACTGCTCGCGGTCTAGCTTTGTCAGGGAAAGGCCAGGCTGCTCAGTGTCTGGGAAGCAGAGCTCAATGTCCTCAGTCCCCTCCCCTCCCCGTATTGCTGGGCTCTCAGAGGGAACACGGGGGCTGACAGGAATCCGTGGGATTTCCTCTGCAGCACCTGGCGCCCGGCCACTCTCTCCCTCCCGCCTCTGCTTGTCCTTCCCTCCCTCCCTCCGCGTGGCAGCAGGATCAGCAAGGCCCTGAGAGCCGGGGAATGAATGAAGTGGAAGAGGAGGGAGGAAAAGCAAGGGCAGGGGGAAAGTCCGCAAATCTAAGGGGTTTATCTCCTCGGAGGGCTGGTGGGACCCAGCCAGGCTCACAATAGCCATTCAAGTTCACCTTGTGTGATGGGAAGGAGGTGTTTTAATGGCTCTGTAGAAAGAGGGGAGGAGAGAGGGGAAGAGGGATAGAAAATCAAAAGAGAGAGAGAAAGAAAGAGAGAGAGGTGCAAATCCAAATGTCGATGTGTAGACACAGTGAGGAGAGCCTGCTGGCTGACAGGGTGATTTATTGGATTCTTCCAGTTAATCACTGCCGGCCTGTGGCCAAACGGATCTCCAGCAAAGCTGAAAGGCAGCCGAGGGAAACAGGCTTATAAGCATAAAGCCGCATAATGGTGTTCAATGAAGTGTGAGACTTTTAGTTCAGTCTCGCTGAGCCGGCCGCACCGCCGGAATGTCAAAGAGGGATTGTGGGTGGAAAAATTATGGATTTAAACTGCTAGCTGTAAATGAGGTCAATATGTCTGGTTCATAAACAGTCCGAGCCTATTCCAAGAATGCAGTGAGGGGGAAAATTAGCGTGAAGCCAACACTGTAGACAAACCTCATTGAGATATAATTGCAGCTATAAATACAAGCGAAAAGCTTACCGAGTGCAATAAAATACAGACACGCTTTTTTATTCCCCTTCTTCTTCCTTCTTTGAATCTATGCATTTGTTAAGGGTTGTGCATCCCTAATGCTCCCTTCCTCTCGCTCTCCCCCTCCTAGTGACACCCAGTGTTGCAATTAATTGAGTGTTCTTGATCTCACATTCCATTTTATTCAGGCGAGATTGGAAAAAATCAAAAGAGCACATCTAAAGCATTTTCTTCCCTTTTGCTTTTCTATTTGAATCAGGTTGAAATGTGTGGAAAAAAAAAGCAGCACTTGTTTTTTATGAAGGGGGAAAAAAATCCAAGTAAAAAGCCTTTTTAAACTAATACATCTGTTAGATCACTGGAATCTCAATTTAATGAAGGGACTTCACCGGCACCCACAGGATCCTCTAGTGGGGCTTCTTTAGACGGATACCTGATCTTGGTTTATGAAACACCGACTCAAATTAATTATTTTTCTTTTCTTTCACTTTTTCTTCTGTCTCTCTGTTTTTAAACTCCAAAGACTCTCATTACTGCATTTTGTACCCCAGCTCAAAGGACAGAGGACAGACATTAGCAAACTTGCTTTGCCCAGTTTAAAAGCCGATACAGTAATAAATTGAAGTCTAATAGCTCTGGTCAGGCTGTCTTTCCCCCTAAACCAATTGATTTAAATGGCAGTAATTTGGCCAGCGAGGCTAGTCCTGTTTAAATTAAACCCATTAATATAATAGCACAAGTCCTGAATGAAACCCATCTGCAGGAAAGGCTCCACTGGTCAGTAGTTTCATAACTGGCCGGGGATGTCCTAAAACGCCCACAATCTTGCAGGCAGGAATTACAGATTAAGGCTGAGACCCTGAAAGCCTCCTGATGAGAGAGAGAGAGAGAGAGAGAGAGAGAGAGAGAGAGAGAGAGAAACGTATGCAGTAAATAGTGTGAGCACACACATTCAAAGCAAGTGAGAAACTGACTTGAAGATGTCAAGGGAAATGACCTTGGTTATTAGTAACAGTGAAAGGTTAATTGTATTAATAATAACAAGCAGTGTTCCTTCGGGAAAAGCCCTCATTATCCTTCCTTCCTCCCGCCTGCCCCACTAAAGAGGCATTTTTCCTCTATAACCGTACTGCCTAGACCTCACGGCCTAAAGGACAAAAATAATTCCTTGAGAGCAAGGAATTTGGTCTTTGCAGCTGAAGGTATACGTGTGCGTGTGTTTCAGCTTTGGCTTTCAAAGACGTCGTCTCTGCTACGTCCACGCTTGGTTCAGAGTGCATACTCTTCGCTACTTTACGTCAAGGTGGCCAAGCGAGTGGGATTTGGATTTGAGCACCAGGAATGCAGCTGCCCTTGTCATCACCAAGTCCGAGTCAGTGTTTAAACCCGAGCAAATTGTCTGCCATCTGTTCAAAGGGAAGAGATGCTGCCTAAACAGACCAGAGAGAGCTTGAACTAAGGAGCTATGGCATTGTGGGGACACCAGCGTTTATGTGGATTTGAAGGGTGACCGTAAAATAATGCCGCACAGGTTCACAAGTGGCTCGTGGAAGGAGTTTAATTGCTTATGGCCGCGCTCTGAATCCAGCTCTTCAGAAGCCAGTAGGAGGCGGCAGGGGTCTGACAGCGACGCTAGGATCAGAGAGCAGGACCTCTGGGTTCCAGCCCACCTCTGCCATTTACCGGCTGTGCGGCCACAGACAAGCTGCTTACTCTGAGTTTGTGTCCTCATTATAAAGAAAAAAGAAAGGCAGAATACTTGTTTTTCATTCCTCACAAATTGTGCTGGAATCAAATGAGCAAGTGATTGGAAAAGTCCTTGGCAATCTATAAAGCAGCAAGCATATTTAAGGCAATAGTACCATCATTAGGCTCATTAAAAAGGCAGTAACTAATAACTATTATATAACTTTATTATATATGCATAATTATAAGAGAAAATTGCATAGATTTATCCAGTCTTTATCAGATGCTCACCATAGTTGGGACACTGAGATAGGGTCTCTCACATGAAATACTATTTTATTTACTCGTCATACAACCCTGAGAGGTAAATAGTATCCTCTATTTTATAGGCAAGTATATAAGCTTCAGTATATAAGCTTTCTTGCATACTGAATTTTAATATTCTTTGAAGACACAGGAGGTCCCCCTTCCTCAGAATGGCCACCGTATTGCTTTACCCAACTATGCTTAATTTAGCCCAGTGGATCTACGTGTTGAAGGCACATGAAAAACACAAATACATTGTTTCTGTTTGTTTTTAATAATGATGTTCAGGACCTACCCTGGAGTTTCTGATTGGATAGTCCTGTGTTAGTCCTGGGGTGCGAAACAGTCTTTTACCCTATCAGTAGAGGAAGAATTTGAATGAGGATGCCATTGCTCCTTTCAAACTTTCTGTGTTGTTCTGCATCACACGCACACACACGCACACAGTTTACAAACAAAGAAAAGAGAAGATTTTTGTGACTGCTTCCATAATTCAGTCCTGAAACAGTGAAACAACAGAATAACAACCATAGACCTCCCTGTAAAATGCCTTTCTTCCTGGCAAGCAGAAAGCACCGCTTAACCTTTTAATCTGAAGCACATGAGGCTCTATGAAGGTCAGCTGTCTGAATGACAGTCCCACTCACAGCCACCACACTCAGGTGATGCTAAGCAACTGGTGGTGAATGGGGCACTCAACAGGCAAGAGGTCACCAGCAAGAGCGGGGAGCTCGCCCATGTCCACGCCAAGGTGCTATTTAGGGAAATTACTTCTCTGTCTCTTTAATGAAGTTTTGAGATCATGTGATACCCAAGTGAGTTGATCTTATCTCAACATACACAAATAATTAGATATATTAAATAGGAGGTAAATAAATCATTTTTCATGTAGCACGATAGTCTGTGAGTCCTATTGTAGCTTATATGTAACCAAGTACAGCTATTACAAATATCTCGTGAACTAGACGGCAGAGCTGGACCCCAAAAGAGGGAAATAAGAATCAGAGAGCTTCAAATTCTTCAATATCTTGCATCTTTTTGAGATTTGAAGTAAATTTGGGGATATAAGAAATTGTTTTAGATTCGTGGTGGAAAAATGGACTATAGGAGCTGTGTGATGAATTGAGGCTCGATGTCATTTGCAGCCGAACACCACTGATCTCTTCATTGTCCTCAGATATGAAGCTGTGAGAGCTCATTTCTTTCTCTCTGACTGTGCCTTCCTCCCATCTAAACTATGGGAGCCAGGAGAAAGGGACTGTCCTCAATAAACATTATACCACTAAATTGTCATTTCCTTTAAGCCTCACTATTGGTGAACTGGTATATCACTGGCATTTCACTGGCATTCCTGACAGCAAAGAGAAGAATGCAGTCTCTGCAAGCTTATGAGTCTAGTTACATTCCTCAGTGAGCTGCCCAGAATTAACACATATGCAGACTATGCAAAGGAGAATAACAAGAAAAAAAAAAAAAAACCTGAAAAACAACAACAATAACAAAACCAAAAAGACACAAACACCACCCCAAACAAACTTTCTCTTTCACATCCTTGTCTCTGTTCCTAAATGCGCTGCATTTCCAATATGTGCTTGTGGATCTCACAGTCTCAGTGCATTTGAGCGAGAAGGGATCTGGTCCAGGTCCTTCATTTCCTATGTATAGAGAGTGCAGCTGGCAGGGCCAAACCAGTGAGGATGTGAGAATTAACTCTCAGATCGGGGCTCTGCCACTCCCCATCTCTAGCACTCAGCAGGCCTTACAGTTGATTAATCACTGATTCTCCACTGAGATCATGCACATTAGGCCAACTCTGGAATGTGAGAAACACAGTTCCTGCTTTA